TCATTGAGAATTTTGAAAATTCACGAATTTTTAAATGAAAAATTCGCCATTCCAACGAATGATAAACTCGCGAATTTATCATTGATAAATTCGCGATTAGTTTGCCTGCAAAACAGAAATGAAATGACAAAATTATTATGAGTTATTCGTAAAAGCTCCCAACAAAATTGATTGGTAATAGTTTTCATTATATGCTGATTATTTTAACATTTACTATTATTTATTATTTTTTATAAAGGTAATTTTAAAATTTTATTTCTTAATAATAAGATCTTTATGTACCAATTCGGTAGATTTAGAAATATATGTTTGAATAAAATATTTACATCAGCTTTGTATATAACTACAATCAGTAGATCAGTAGATATTCCAATAAATTATAATTTAATTTGACAAGCAGCAAATTACTTATGGTTTCACCACTTAATTTTGTTCGCTGCTTTGTTATAATAGTTGATAAGGCGCTGAATGCTCTTTCAACGGACACTTGACTTGATGGTACTGCTAAGATGACCTCCACTAACTTAGACATCTCTTTATCCGTACTAGCTAAATTTTTCCAGTACTCTAAAACATTCGTTCCAAATGGCATCCTTTCATTATACGACAGCTTGTCAAGTTTTTGTCTTATGGTCGCATTTGTAAGAATAGTAGAGCAACCTTTGGAAAGTTGATATTCTTCTTCCAAGTCCTTGAATGGGTCATCAGGTCGAGCGGATGTAGTTGGTAATTCTTCGTGACTACAATCCAAATCAACATCATTTATACCGTTCAGAGATGATATGGTGGAATATGTTTTTAAAATATGAACCTAAAATTTTAGTATATTTAATATAAAAGTTAAATGCAATTCGTGAAGTTAGCACTTACCAATCCAATTTTTCGGTGCTCATCTGTAAAATAAGGAGAGTCCAGAAAATTAAATCGCGGATCAAGATATAAAGCAGAAATAAAAGCAACGTTTAACAAACTTCATGAGGTAGTCATTAGCAGGAAGTTCGGAATGGGTAATAGGTTGGTATGTGATATCTAAATTTGTGGAATTTATATCAGGAGTCCGAGGCATTTCATTACATAAATTGGAAGTGTTATGTCCTTTCAAATGGTGATTAATCTTTATACATTGTCATATACTCGGTTACATATTTGGCAAACATATCTGGTCAAATTTAATGTTTTTAAGTGTTTAAGTAATGAGTAATAATTAAATTGCTCATTACAGTGAAAGCAAACCAAATTCATTATTGATAATTAATCTTACTTGCTAAATATAAAAACTTATAAATTAATTATATCTATAAAGTATAAATGAAATATATAATGATAACATCCAAAAAGTAAAATAAAAAAAATATTTTAATTAGGGAAATTTAAATTTAAGTCACTCACATAGGTACTAATTCTACTTTCCAAATTATTGTCGTAGGCAGTTGATATTTGAAACATGTATTTTTGTAAGAACCAAGCTTTTTCAGAAACCGGCGGGTATTTTATATTTAATTCAACATATGCGGACATTGCACAAACCAAAGCTTTTTCAATTGTTGGAAAACAGTACTTAACATGAGCTACCAGAACCCATGATAACTGAATAGGAACTCCAATCAAAATAATTCTTGGTTGATTCGTGTCCAGTGAATTAATTTGACTGTAAAAATTTTCGCCTTCATGAAGATTCTGCAAAGCAAATTTTTATTTATTTTTTTATAATAAAAGCAAGTATTATAAATATACTGGGAATGTTTTGATGTAATCTGATGTCGATATAGTACTATTTAGTAGTTGAATTCTGTAGTCAGAAGTTTTTTTCCAAGGCTGTTGACAACGTTTTATGTCAATATCAGTTGACAACTGTTGCAAATCTATGTCAACATTTATGTTTGGCAAACCAAAAAAAGATAACAAAAGTTAACAATATTAAGTTAATAAGAAAATGGTTTCGATTATTTCCGAATAAGAGAATATAACTAATTTCATTATAAGGTTTATTTTATCTGTTACACACGCTCAAAGAATATAAATTAAAAAAAAATGATATTTTTCACAAATGCAGTTATTTGTAATTACCTCTGTCCAAGTCTAAAGTCTCAACAACTCGAGTTTTGGATTTAGATCTGCGTACTATTAAACCTGCAGCTGCCAACGACGTCCTGTAATTATTATACGCATCATGTAATTTTCCATGCGCATGTCTGCCTTGACAAAATTTTTGATAATATGTGGTAGCTACTTCTCCAGGGAAAACTTCACAAATTTTGAAGCTTAGATCTTCTAGTTCCACTGTAGATAATCTGTAAAGATACAAGCTGTTATAAGTATGATGTGGTGTGAACTGCAACTCATTTTTAAAATAAAATAATATTTGTTGTTTTATGGTAAAAAGCATTGGGGTTTTTAACCACTGGCTGGTTCCTCCCATGCTTGTATAAATTTTATAGTTTACAAATTAAAAAAAAAAAAAGACAAAATATTATAAAATTAGTTACAAAGTCACAAATTGCTGGTGTCGCAGAGACCAGATATATAAAGAAATTATAAAACTCTATATGAATACTAATATAAAATACATTACTAGATAGTACTCCATAATTATATTTATAACTATTATATGAATATAACTTAATATAAAATTTTATATAACATAATTTGTAGTTTTGTTTGTATTTTAACTTTGAATTAAAATATTTTACATATTCATTTAATAATTTATTTATGTACATCAATCCCTACCTATAGGTTTTATACCAGCGTTTACCGCCATTAGTATTCTAACTAAAGGTTCACTTCGAAGGAGTGCACTCTTTATTACAATAGTAATTACAATGCTTATTATTTTTATTAATAACCGCTGCTGTTGACTTCTTCTGGTTTTTCTTTTTTTCTTGTTGTAGGTTGCGCCTTTCCTTTAGGCGATCGTACTCTGCTTGAATTTTTGTAGCTGCTTCCCACGATGGTGGAGGGTTTCTTTCTAAAAGACTTCTCAGGTGGGCTAACTGCCTCCTTAATGTTGCTTGTTGTCCGCCTCTTCTTTTCGGCTTTTTAATTTCTGACGGTGATATTTGTGTTAATAATTGATCTTTTTTTATTTGTTGTCTTCTTAGGTATTCTTCAAATGTTAATTTTTTAGGTCCTTGATTAGCCATTAAATTAATTATTATTATTGCTGCACTTCACACTTGTTGCATTTAACGTTTTATCGTTTTTTACTTGTCCTTTATTTGACATTTATACATGTATTTTAACAAACTTTTTTTTTTTTTATTTGTTTTATAAATTGTTTTTATTTTTCATAAAATTTTGGGCACCAAAATTAATTGTTAATTAATTCACTAAATTAATTAGTTTAATTTGTCACGGTCGCCATGTGGTGTGAACTGCAACTCATTTTTAAAATAAAATAATATTTGTTGTTTTATGGTAAAAAGCGTTTATTAATTATAGCATCCACTCGGTATGCTTGTCTAAAATTGAATGTGTACTTATGCTCCGCTTCATAAGCTTAGAGCTAAACTTAACATACAATAATAGCTTGTATAAAGCATGCATACATAATATCTTATCGCACATAGCGTGGTTTTAAATAACATGAAAGCATTGCTGCTTCATGTGTGCTTAAGCAACAGGAATGTGCTGGCCAGGCATAATTCATGTAGCTGTGCGTTACAAAGTAAATTATATAGTCTTTTTAGACTATTTAGCAACAAAGTATATTTATTGAAGTTGCTTTATATATGTAAATGTATGCATACCACAATGATATACTAAGTATGATATTTATATTGTCATATAACGTACATTCTATTTGGATTTCCAAGTAAATATTTAATTAAAGATTTGGAAATGTCAATCCTATCTCGATTTGTTAAAATTTTTGACTTCTCGAACTTTTGCCAAATTAATGTGTTATTGACCTTTAAATATTCCTGAAGGCTCTGCAATTTATACGTATTATATTTAAATATACACACACGCACATTTATACATTCACATAAAGTTTAACTGACATACACTCAAAATAACCAAGATATAAGATATTAAGTAACTTACGTCTTCATTATTAAAATCAGCACAAATATTTGATGTATAGCTTTGAACGTTACTTGGAACAACGTGGACAAACGGACTATTTGTTTCATCGAGAATTTCACTGGAAGCAGTTTTTTGGTTTGAAGTTGAACACTGATTTTGCAACGGATCTTTTTCTCTATTAAGACCTGAAATACATGTTTTCATTTCATTAAAAATTTTAAAAGTATGAACAATATTTGCGTCAATATTACAATATTAATTTTCAAAAAAATATTTTTTTTCTGCGCTTTTGCCAGTAATATTGTATATAACCGAACATAGCGAAATTGCATGCACTGTTACCATGCGGTACACAGAAATAAAAATTTCCTAATCAAATTGTAAAGTTCTTAGGTTATGAAAAGAAAGACGCGTCGCTTTGAGTGTCCAAATAAGACTGATTTTTATTAATTTTTATTCTTAAGTCTAACATCGTTTCTTAATACTAATTTCCAATAGAATCTTATGTATTGATTCTATTGGTTAATACTTATAATACTTGCGTCTAATTGGTTAACCCAAATTAGATGTATATAATATTCTTACAGACATAACTTATCAATAAATGGTGTACTATTAACTAATGCAAGTGTTCTATCAGTGTTTTACCAGCATTTGGTGGTGATAATATAAATATAGTATTTTTTTTTGGAATATTTTTATCAATTATATTATACAAATTATTTAAAAATTTTGATATTTGATGGTCATTATCATAAAATTGGAATTTTAACAATTCATCAAGAATTTCTATTGATTCATTAATAGTGAAATAACAATTATATAAATTTCCAATGGGTGCATTAAAAATTAAATTCTGTGGTTCAACTGATTTTAAATACAAATAAATTTCATGAAAACTTAAATTATTAATATAATTATTTACAATACGAATACAATTTTTAATCAATATACAATTAATATCCCAAAACTTAAATTCCGATGTTAACCAGGCTGATGTATTTAAAATGTGGTGAATTGGTGCTGTTGGATGACTTTTTAGTAAATCTATTATTTTGTCTCCCTTTCTTCTTTTTTGACTCCTATTAAAAAAAAAAATTTTAATGATTTAATAATAAATTAATAATTTTATTTATTTACCTGGTATTTTGTTGAGTTGATTCGTTACATTCAGCAAAAGTTTCATGACCAATTGATGATTCGGGTCCACAGGAGATTGAATCAAAAAAGTTGAACGATAATTCGCTTCCTTCCACCATTCCATCTTTGGCTTCTTGGAGATCTTTGAAAAATCGTACACATCTAGCTTCACTACTTGAAAACCACGTTCTCCCGGTGATGTTATAGTATAAGTACTTCCGGGTTTCCTTCTGCGAATAGATTGACAAATTGATCCAATGTTGAATCGTGAATTTTCAACTTGGAACGACTCGTCTAGAATATCTTCTATTGGTCTGTCTATGGATAAACTTTGAGAAGGCACATCTACAGGAATTATTGGAGTATGTACAGTCATGGACGACATGGATGTGGTTGTTGTGAAGTGCGATGATGAGGATGGCCCCTGAAAATTTTCTGCATAACTGTTCGTAATCCATGTTGAAGTTTCCATCGTTATATTCACATCCAAATACGTCGTGGACCACTCGCTGTTTAAGAGAATTGTTACCAAATTCTTCAACGAACACTTGCTTAATTCGTTCTTCTGGTTTATTAACTGTTTTTGTACAAACAGTAGGGAGTCCGTCAACAAATGTAAAACTTGTTTGGCTTCGTATTCCTTCTTCATTAGAGGCAGCGGAATCAAGCAATCTAAGATCAAATTCGAATGAATTAGAAATTCCGGCGTCCAAATCACCAATAGTAGTGAGAGCATCGACATATGAGTAGCATTCTCCATTAACATACTCGCTTCTTTCATTTCTTACTCGACATTTATAATTTTCTTCTCTTCCGCTTCCATTACTAATTTCCTCTTCTTCGTTTTCTTCTTCTCCTTCAAAATACTCATTTCCACTGCTTGAGTATCTGCTATCATTGTTTCGGAATCGCTTAATGCAAACGGTTGTCGGTTTTGAATTATAGATT